GTGTGGGAACGACTAAAAGAAGCAATATATATAAGTAGCGTAAAGTTTTAAAGTAATCACATATTTTTAATTTAAAACAGTAACCTTGAATGAGCATTCATTAAAGTTGCAGCTGTTTGTCTTCTCTCCGATCCCTTTTCTAAGATCTTGTAAACTTCATTTTTATTGTGTACGGTTACTTCTTCTAATCCATGAATAATTATTGAACCTTTTCTTGTGGCATCTTCATAAAGCCTAAAAAATTATAAACACTACATTAATCTAATTTTTATAGTTTTTATAAGAATACAATATTACCTTATTTTAGATGCATCATCAGTAGGTGATAACAAGTCAAATAATTCTTCATTGTATAACTCAAGAAAGCTAACTCGTACTGTATATTCTTGTGCTTCCAACATACGTAATTCATCAAACAAATGACTCAATGCACGTGGTATAATTCCAGCTGTAGTATCCTATAAAATCAAATTTAAATTGTATATATACGAGCAGATTATTATATCATCATATTTATATGGTATAAGATACAAAAGTTAGTTCTAAATTTTATGTATAAGATTGTATATAGCTGTAAATTTTATTTTCTTTCTTTTGAATTATTTTAATCTTCTATAATTTTTTATATATCAAGTATTGTTGTAATTTAATAATCAGGAAGCTCTAATTATTTCTTCGTATTATAATACAAAAAGTTGTTCTAAGTTATTTATATAACTAAGTTATATATTTATTAAGTATATTGTTTATTTATATATATTAAAATTTGATAAGAGATTTCATGCATAACATTTGATAATACTTAATATTTTTTTAAATAATACAACTTACACTTTGCCAATGTAATGATGGATCATTGCTAACACCTTCCATGGTAAATGTTTTTCCAGTTCCAGTTTGGCCATAAGCAAAAACTGTACAATTATATCCAGCCAATACTTCCTCAAGCAAAGGGCTAACAACTGCATTATATACATCTATCTAAAAATTACAATCTTTTTTTAAAACAAACGTTCCTTCAAAGCAACAATTATGGAAAAATTCATTTTTTATACAATACAAAGAAATATCATATTTGTCTCTACCTGTTTTGATACAGGTCCAAATACTTTGTCAAATGTGAACTTTTTTGAATGACTGCCTTGTATCCTTTCATGCACCACTATTTCTTTGTTAGTTGGTAATTCCAATACCGAAATAGATTTTCCAATTTTTTCGTTCTGATTTATTGGCCTGTTGAAAAAAGTTATTTCATAAAGATAATAGTATCAACATAAGAAATAAGAATAACAAAAATTGAATGTATAAACTAATATTTATTTAACAGTAAAATTAAAATTGTCAAACAAGAAAACAAAGATTTAAAAAATTTGTTAAGATAGAATTTTATGCACCTTCTCGTTATGGATAGAGCTTCAGTTTCCTTAACAATATACACAATAATGCGTCAGTAACACAATAATTATTATTATCACCTACCTGACACGCACGAAAACCTGTATATGCTGATTCTTCTCTTTTTTCGCGTTACGTGTATCATTCATTTTGAATTCGATTTGTTGCACAATTATTTCTCACTACGACACAAAACGATTAGCCACGATTTTACATTCATCAACTGAAAGATACTTCGTTTTATTTCACGTTCATTTACTGTTTATAAACGCTACACGCTACACGCCAAAAACTGCTATGCTATCCGTTAAAGAATTTAAATTGAGATGTTTTGCGCGATCGCCACCAGGTGAAGATGTGCAATTACGGGTGCGGTAGAGTTGCCACTACGAATGCTTCGAAGCGTTTGATTAACCCAATCAGAAGAAAGAATTTTACAAATTAACCAATCAAGAAACGCTTCGAAGTATTCGTAGTGGCAACTCGACTGCACCCTACATTGGACATGTTCAAACTGGACAAAGATGCTAAGGTGAGTTCAGAATTGTCATCCGGATGCACCCAGATGGTTTGAACATTTTCAGTGCCTTGTTTATCTAATAAACGATAAACACAGAATGATGATTTAAAGTACATGAGCGATACACAAATCAAACAGCCTTTATTCAAACAGCCTTCACCGCACAGACCATCACACGTACGAAAATTTTAGTAATAATCGTAAGGTCTTAAGCAAATCGACCAATCACAATCAAGATTAAGATCTCACATTTTCAAACGCTAAACTGTGATTGGCCGATTTGCTTAAGACCTTACGATTACTACTAAAATTTTTGTACACGTGTGATGGCCATCATGCCGTTCCGTATAAAAAAAGGCTTGGTTTCACAAATATTATTATAATTAATTTTAATTTTGGTTTAACTTACTATTTAATTTTTTTCCATTTCCAAGAATTAAAAAAAAATAGAAAGGTAAAGTTAATCTTATATTTGTAGAACCGAATCTTTTAATTGTATGTAGATATATATATGTATATAAAAATAAAATTTTATTTTATTAAATTTTTATTATGTTCACTGAAGGATAATTCTTTTAATTCACATCATATTCATACATTTATTTTCACAATGCGATTCATAAATCTAATAAGCTAACACCTAGGTGTTAATAAATTAACTTTCCAGTAAATAAGAATAATATGGATTGAATTGGATTCAGATTATCAGAAATTCGCGAACATTAAAATAAATCCTTTTCAATCTAAATGCATTTTTTTTAGATTTGTAGCAATTATGTATATGAAGCACATTTTTATACCTTTTAATCTAAAAATAATATCGCGGATTTTTTTTATGTTTCTATATTGTCAGCTTCACATCTTTTATATGCATATACTACTGACAATTCAAATTCTGAATATAAAATACAGTTTTTCAACCCAATTGAATTCAATTGAATAAAGAACTTTTTTTCAATTGAATTAAATTGGGCATAAAAATTTTAATCCATTTTCGATTTTATTAAGTTTATTCTCAATTCAATTCATCTTTTTCTAATTCTCTTATATCCAATAAAATATTTAGTTTAATAATCTATAAGTTAATATCTTAAATCTATAGTTTTTAATAATATTTTGAAAATAAAGCTTTATATAAAATATTCACAAAATATTTATGTAACATTTTATTTACAAAAATATTACATAATATTTATAATCAATGTTTAATTTTAATCTATGCAATCTAAAATTACAAAAATGTTTACAAAATATTAAAAAAATATATCTTATAAATATATTATGTTTGTAATGTTAATTAATATTTATGTTATAATGTTATTAATATTAATTTGGATAATTTCTCTACATACAATATGTATGTTGGTGGTCGAGAGATGAGATTATTAACTGTTGGACATAATATTTGAAGACTTTATATCTGCACAACATTGCTACCAAGAATGCATACTATGATTTGCGATTTATAATTCAACGTTATATGCGTTAAAATAAAGTTTTGATGAAGATAGCTCAAACTTGAACAGAAATAACGTACATTGTTTTAATATTTTTGACTGAAATTTTGTTAATATATATGCTGCGCAATATTTGTTCCAGCGCTGATAACAACTCTTAATAGTCTCGTTAAATATATATTATTATATGCGTAGCTTATTATATAACTAAAAGAAATTTTTTAAAAATTAACTTTTTTTATGGTTAGTATTTTAAATATTTGCAAATATTTTGTAAGTATTTTATAAATATTGTGTGCTGTCTGGGTAGTCCGGTTCCACCAATATAGAAAAGATTAATTTTAATCTCAATTTAATTTACTCTTTATTTTTCTAATTTTGAGAGTTAAAAAAGTAAACAGTAAGTTAAACCAAAATTAATCTTATATTGGTGAAAAGGGCCCTTATAAGTAAAAAATCAATAATTGAAGAAATATAACAACGATTGCTTATCTTTTATTGTTAAATTATTCACGATTATTTGACAGTAGTATAAAACACGTTTTTAAATTTCAATATGTTTTTATCCATTGATCATGTTTTTATAATTAATTTATGATCAAAGTAATCTACAATTATTCTGATCATCAGATGCATTATTGTGGGATTTTTTCAACTGGGGAATTTGTTGTATAATGGAGAAGAATAGTTACTGCCTTGTAACTGCGACTAAATAAATATCAATTTACTATAATAATTATTTATATTGTTTTACTGAAGAAGGCTAAAAAACTTAGCTAAAACACGCATTAATTATTTTCTTATAATTGACATAAAGCTTTTTTAAAGCAAAATTGTTCATTGTACAGCGTTAATTCTCAATTGCCTGTTATCATTTGTTTATTTATTGAATTTGTCATTTCGGGAATTTCGTTAATATTGTTACCTTAAAAAAAATGAAGAAACAGTTAATACTACAATCACGGGGCTAAATCGCGGTACAAAGTAAATTTGGCTTTTTACAAGAGCAAGTTTTCACCATAAAATTAAAATTACTTGTAATTAATTATGATTATTAATAAAAAGTCACAAAAATTTGAACTCTATCCAAATCCAAATAAACTAGAAAAAAAAAACTATCAGTTGGATAAAAAATGGCATAGCCACGATTCTAATATTAAACCGAGATTAAAATTAAACTACATTGATAGAGAAATGAGCATTAAATTCTTTTAAAACTTAAAACTTTTTCACTGCTCTCTTCCACACTGAAAAAAATGCATGAAAATTTTTTTATTTAATTAAGTGTACTAATTAATATTAATTACGTATAAAGAACCTTATATAAATTAATATTATAGAACTTAATTCCTGCCGTTTTTTTTTAGATTCTTCATAACTGGAGAAATGTGTGCCCGTAAGGGTGATCAATTCCATTGATCAGAAGAGATGGTAATCCGATGATGCCATGTCTGGAGAGTACGCTGGTTGAGGACTTCCCATTCAAGCTCTAGAAGTGTCTGCTTCACACTTTTCGGAATATACGGTCGAGCATTAGATATCATTAAAAAAATGACTTTACGTCGATTATTGGCTATGGATGGTCCTTTTTTCAAGACGGCCATTGGAGTAATATTTAACGCTTTCGACTACTGTAAAAACGTTTTAGCTGGATTCTCATCGAGCAATCTTGCAGCTCGACGTTCGGGACGTTCTTTGTCACTCACGTCAAAATCACCGTTTCGAAAGTGTTCAAACAAAACTCTACATGTTTTTTCCGATGCATTTTCATCACCGTACACTTCAGTTAATAAACGATGCGTTTCAGTTGCAATTTTCTTGAGGTCAAAGAGTGAAGAAGTACATGTCGGAAAAACAGTTTATCGCGGTTCATTTTCAATCGATTGGAAAATCTCTTTGATGTCGAGAAATCTAACTTATGAGGATTGAATCACTTTCAACAATGTCTAAACTACAAAAGACATGCGACTTCACCGTCGAAACTCGCCAGCGTTGGATTTGATATCCTCTAATAGCGAGCGGCAAAAATCAAGTTTTTACCATCTAATAAATATTAAATATGACTATTAAATTATAGCAACTTAAAGAAATGTTTTTTATAATGTCTTAGCTCATCAATACTTTCTTTTATATCATCCAAAGCTCTATGATTTAGTTTCTTTTTTGGTGCTGAATTATATACATTCGGATTCCATCTCCTAAAAATTATGAAGATTTATTCATAGTATCATATTTTTCTGTTTAAATCGCCTTAAATATCAATTGCAAAACAAATTGTTTTTACAATGTATAAGAAAAACAAATCAACATTTCTATTGATTTATATAAAAATAGAAGAAATTTATTTTTACCTAGCAATTTCCTTAACTGTAGCAACATCGATAATTCTGTAGTGTAAGTAATTATTAACTAGTGGCATATACTTGTATAAAAAAAAACGATCCATGTACACCGAACTTCCAGCCAACGGGCATGAATGTTCATGAACATATTTTTTTAAAAAATCAAATACTCTCTTCTCGGCCTCTTCCAATGATACAGTACTTAAACGAGAGCTTTCAGTTAATCCCGTCTAAAATATATAATAATTAAATTAGAGCTCAAGATATATATCAATTTGCAAATACTAAAAGGTTTAAAAATATTAATATTGTCCATGTAAGTTAAAAGTTTACCTTACTGTGGTTTTCTTTACTCCAGTCATTCATATTTTCTAATACCGCGTCTGACTGATGTACTACAATATTTAGTTCCTCGCTAACAATATTTAATTTTTTATCTGTTACAATGCAGGCAATTTCTAATATATGATCTTTATCTACATCAAGACCAGTCATCTGTAAAAATATCATGCAATTATTTTATGTTTCTAAATTAATTTTTTTTATTACTCTTTATTATAATCATTATATGTATGTATATATATATATATACAACCCAAACAATATAATTAGTATTCTTGGGCGCCATTTTGTTAACAATAATATATTTGACAATCTGTAGCTATAAATGAAAAAAAAAGTAAAAATTAGTTATTAAAAATAAATGTCAAAATAGAGATTAGTATTCATCTGTGTTATCATTGAATTGTTTCATATAACAGTAAAATATCAAATACTATTATTAATTATTTTTATATCACATATGTTTCAAAAATACTTTAATACGGTTTACGTTACATAAAATTACACTATTATAAAAGTATTGATAAAATTTTATACAATTATTATACAAGTATTGATAAAATTATATAATAATTGTTATACAAGTATCGATAAAATTATAAAAAAAATTGATAAAATTGTATTTCTTGAAACGGGCATTTGGACAATATAATTTTAGAGATAACCTCCAATATATGCGATAAACTTCAAATACGTGTTTTTTCTAAAAATGTAAAAATGTAAAAGCTAAAATATAAAACTAACGTAATATGACAATATGTGTATAAAGCCGATGTAATGATGATTGTTTATTTTTGATGAAAATAATACTTTAAACGACAATAAAATATCGAAATTTACTCTACGATTGACACCACGAGATTACCTTGGATCTTGTACGGTTTCGACTACCTTAGTAAACTCATATGATCATACATATGATTATACGTATATGTTAACATGCGTCTTTCGAATATAACAGAGAGAATCAAAGTTTTTAATTCGATATTTGTTTAAATCAATATATCAGTCATTTGCGGCATTGCAGCATACATTACAATTCGCCGTTTTTTTTTTCATAAACAAGATTAGCAAAAAATTGTAATTAATTTATTCATGTTTTATATCTTAAGTAAACGGAAAATTTAATAATCATCATTTTTAATTGATAAAGGTTAAAGCAATAATAATAGTGTAGCGTTATATATTAACATTTTTATGTGTTTAAATAAATTTTTACAAATTTTTTTGGACAAGTAAAAATTGACAAAGTGTAAAGAAAATTTTTCATCTTCTTCGGGTAGTAGTTTTTTATATATAAAAAATATCAAACTCACAGAAATTAAAAAAATAGTAATTTCTTGAAAGTAAAAATTTCAAAAAATATTTCTAATAAATGTAAATTTTGTTAATATTTTTAACGAAGATATTGTAAAATTAATCCTTTTGTGTAAAAAGACTTTCCCTATCTAATATGTTTTATATAAATAGACAATGATCGAAATTATAATAGTGACTAGATACTATAGAGTATAATAGGAGTAAATAGACTGATAATGCGAAGTTATGATATTTAATTCTTTTTTATAATACATTATAAATTGGTGCATACACATATTTTGCTTTTCTCTCTCTTACGATCCAAATTAATTTTGTTGGTCATAAAATAAAGAAAAATTACGTAAACGTAAGTATATATACATTAAAAAAAAAAATCTGTTTTTTATTCTTGTACTCTTTATAAACTGGCGCATACAGAGCAATAAATTAAAGTAAAACAAACACGTACATTTTTTTCACTGGTAATATAAAGCGATAATAATGACGCACCAATCACGTAACGTCGTTACTGATCTGTCATACCATTGGACGCACGTAGCTATCGTGATGCGGTATAAATAGCCTGGAAGAATGGCTTAAAAAAATACAACGAACTGAGACGTCGTACGCTTCATATCGTTCTCGAATCGTAAATATATAATGTCTGGTCGTGATCGTGGCAAAGCTGACAAAGCTAAAGTGAAGTCCCATTCCGATCGTGGACTGTAGTTCCTTGTTGAATGTATCCACTGGCTTATGCGAAAAGAAAATTACGTGTTGATGCTGATGCTCTGGTTTATCTAGCTGCCGGTGATGGAAACCTCGCTACTGAAGTTGGCGAGAAGCGCCACTCGCTTGAACAAGCTACTCTCTGGCATTACGTTATATTATACTTAATATCTTCCATTACTCTTATTTTTTGAATATGTATTTTCCAAATTTAAAGCTTATCTTTAACGAATGTAACATGTTTCGTAATTATAATTACAATTCTACAAAATTGTAGAATATTATTCGATAAAACAATTTATTTAAAATGAAAAATAATTAAAATATCAATTAAATTACTCTAAAATTACCTAATGTCTTTTTTATAACGTTTAATTGATGGTTAAATAGTAAAAGATGCTCTCTCTCTCTTTCTCTCTCTCGATATCTTTATTTTTAAAAAGTTTTTACATCGCTACTAACTTTATATAAAATTAAATATGATTCCTAAAATCTTCAAACAAAATATTAAGATAAGTGTGTGAAGATAATTTATTTTTATTTATATTAATTATCGTAAATGTTATCAATTCAGTTATAATAAGGTTGTTTATTTTGAAATTGACATAGTGTCAAACGCAGAATTAATTGTTATTTGATCAGACTTTTATTTTTTTTTTATTCATAGTAATTCCGTAGAAGTAGTACCCAAAAAAAGATTCATAACATATAAAATATCAACTTATACTGGCAAAGACCGTTTAGAATAATGAGGGAAGTCCACGGCATATGGTGGTTGACCACCTTCAGAGACCCAAGCTGCTCCGTTTTCACCCTTCTGAATAAGATCTAACATCGCCAGTGCTACATTGTCGGTTGTTTGGATCGGATAATTCTTAAAATCATCTGCAATGTTGTTCGCAGCGTGAATAATATAGTCACAGATCTTATCCTTGACATTTGTGGGCATTGCAGTTGCTGTAACGCCTGGGCACATGATAATTACTCGCACTTCGGTCTTGTCATACATGCTTGCCAGAGATTGGCTAAATCCCAGGACAGCAAATTTCGAAGCGCTATATATTGGCAACAATTGATCTGGATGCAACCCAAGTATGGATGCAATATTCACGATTACACCGCCTTTGCCACCTTTATGCTTCCCCATATAATCGAGGGCCAACATAGAACCGCGAATTAGAGCCTTGACATTGAGATCGATCGTTTCGTCCAAATATTTATCGTTCAACATACCAGCATTGTTAATAAGAATATCGAGCCCTTTAAATGCATCGACGATCTTCTTGAACGTCTTCTCTAAATCGTCAGGCTTCGTCACGTCGCAAGCAAGGAAGACAGCACGACCCTTCCCAAATTCATTCTCCAAAGTAGCTGTCGCATTCTGGCCATTCGATGTTGGCAGGTCCACCACGGCAACACATCTTGCACCATTACGTAATAATATCTCGGCATATTTGTAACCTAATCCGTTAGCTGCTCCAGTGATCATTACAGTCTTATTCTGCACGTCGTACATTGTTCTGATTCCTTAAAACCTTCTATGTGAGATACTTTACTGAAATATGAGTCCTTAAGTGAATCGTAAATAACACTGTTTCTTTAAATAGAATTCATCTGCAGTTATACTTCTTCTTATCAGTTTTATCATTCAATGATAAACTTACTGGTGAGAAATTATTTTTTTTTTATTTTTCTCACAACTTATATACATCTCGTTATTTGATAAATTTGTTACAATTATAATTTTGAAATTCAAATGTATAATGTGTGTGTACGTACATAAAAGTTATAAATAATAATATAAACCGCCGGTAACGTTGAACTTTATAAAGACACTGTCGATTTTCGGATTAACTTCTTACTTGTATAAGATCAGATTTGCAAAATTTCTTGTTTAAATAAAAAAATATTTAAACAAATTAATAAAAGAATTTTACACAAATATAATAACATGTTTAACAAGTTATTTATTCGAAAAAAATTTGTTTATATCGATCCTTAAAATTAAGATTCAAGACAGAAAATGAAAACATATGTTATATTAACATAGAATATTATCTATTCTATTAATTATCATAGATATATACGAGTAATTAATTCAATCTTAATGCCGTTATTTTATACTTAAAAATGGATCTAATTTTATAATTGATTTGATAGTTGTCGTGAAAATTAATTAAAACAACATAAAGCAAATTATCAACTATTATAATTTATACAGGCAAAGATCGTTTGGAATAATGTGGAAAGTCCACGGCGTATGGTGGTTGATTATATTCGCTGACCCAAGTCGCTCCGTTTTTACCCTTCTGAATGAGATTTAACATCGCAAGTGACACATTGTTTACTGCTTGTTTCGAATCTTTATCTAAATTAGCAGTATTGCTCCCTAACACAATGCGAACGGAGTCACAGATCTTATCGCTAATAGTTGTGATCAACGATGTTGCTGTAGCGCCAGGACACATAATGACCACTCGAACTCCAGTCTTGTCATACATGCTTGCCAGAGACTGGCTGAATCCTAGAACGGTATATTTCGAAGCACAATATATTGGAACAAAATAAGTTGGTGTCAATAACAGATGCAATGTTCACAATTGTACCACCTTTGCCACCTTTATGCTTTCCCATATAATCAAATGCCAACATAGAGCCGCGAATTAATGCTTTAACATTGAGATCGATTGTTTCTTCCCAAAAGTTATCATTTAAAATACCAGCGTTATTGATAAGAATATCAAGCCCTTCAAATGCATCGACGATCTTCTTGAACGTCTTCTCTAAATCGTCAGCCTTCGTCACGTCGCAAGCAAGGAAGACAGCCCGGCCCTTCCCAAATTCATTCTCCAAAGTAGCTGCCGCCTTCTGGCCGTTTGATGTTGGCAGGTCGACTACAGCAACACTCTTTGCATCATTATGAAGTAGTATTTCGGCATACTTATAGCCTAATCCTCCAGCTGCTCCAGTGATCATTACAGTTTTATTCTGTACGTTATACATTATGTTAACTTCTTGAAGCCGTGAATCTCAAAAACGTGAAATGCTCTGGCAAAATGTGAGATTTTTTAACAAATCGTAATAAATGACTGTGTAAGTAAAGTGTATACTTAATCTAATAATTCTTATCTTATCTTCTTATCTTGTTTAGTAATGCTGTATTTATAATGATACAATATTCATCAATAAAACTTGGTTGGTGCAGAATATGAGTAATAACGCGACCAATGAAGGATCTGATAAAAATAATAGTTTGCTTTCAAATACTTTAAATAACAAATATGCTTATCAAATGTTATATGTATTAAAGTATTTACAATACAATTTTTGTTATTTAATTTAATATTCAGAATAATCAATTAGAACAAAAAGGAGAATAAGAGAAGACCGGAAGAAGCTTTCATGTGATTACAACCAGAACAGAGTATTTATCATGGAACAAGTCGGAATGGATTCTGATCGGAATTATTTAATGATTTCTTAGATTTTTATTATATTTTCTTTTTTTTTTTAGAGAAAACAAAATTCATTCCGATATGTTTCATGATAGGTATCCAGGCCTGTCAAAAACTCGGCTCGTATAAGTCTAAACGCTTTCATTTTTCTGTCGCGTCGTCTCGGAGCATGAATAACAAAAGTATAAGTAACAAAAGATAGATACCAGCATTCTACCTGAATTCAGGTCTGTTTAACATGTAGTACAAAACGAGAAACACGTTGCAGTAATATTGCTGCAAATTTCTTTACTCATATATTATATCTTCTATATAATAATAAGAAACAAGTCCGAAGAAAATCGGCATCATATACATATAATATTAAGGATATCACTGGCAGAGGAAAATAGGCAAAATAAAAACGACTACTATAGGTATATAATTGTATAGATATAAATTAAGCGATAGGGTGTCTTTGTTTCCTTCATTCTATGACGCTCTTGGACCTGAACTCAGGTATTTATTCTTTTGTACGTATTTACTAACTTGCTCATCTAACGAAACGGAGAGAGATGGAAGTGTTTCCGTTCACGAACCTAGTTTTGCATACAGATCCAAACTAAAATATTATAAAGTCAAACTTTAATTTGGTAAATATATTGATTGTAAATAAAAATTTTCGGCTTAATATTTTTTAAATACAGCCAATATTATTTTCAATTATCGGACAATTTCTTTCCAAATTTAATTTGGTAAATATGCTGCTACGATTCTCGTCGTATCGATCGTTATTTTTTTGCCGAAATGCTATGTCGAAATTAATTACGCAAATTATCAATATTTTATCTGTTTTTGTAAATATACTCGTATAATTGCAGATTACAAATTCTATGTAAGATTTCGTCATATAATTTTATAAATGTTGTAGCGAGTTGTCTCTACGGAGTTATTTACAAATAATTTTAGAGGAGAATGAGACTCTGTTGTTCCTGAATATTGGCCTTTTTAAATAAAAGTTTCGTTGGATACATATAATTATCAATAAAATTGTTATAGCTTTCTACTATTTATATTTCATGCTTTTCTCTCTTCGTAACTCTTGAAATATTTAAGACAATTTTAGAAAAAGGATTAAAGATATAAATATAGTACATAAACTTCCTATGCTTATAATAATTTTTCTTTGTAATTATACATGACTTAATACATATTTTTCTTAAACTTTTGCTAATAATTTTTTTAAATACCTGGATATAATTTCGTGACGTTTTAAAAACTTTCTCGGATTTTTAATAAATTAGAATAGTTTCCAAAAGCGTCCATGCAGAAAGTCTTTTCTAAAATTCTTTACATATAAATAATTCTGAAATATTCTAAAATTGTTCATCCTATAATTTTTAATAAAATTTTATCATACATGAAAAAGTTTAAGATATTTTTTCAGAAATTATAGACTAAATAAGAAATTTAAAAAAAATTAGTATATTTAGAATTTACATACACGCGAGCGCGTATGTGTGTGTATATATATATATATATATATATTATACATTTACACATAAAATTCCAAGAAAATGACCTTCTCATTCCCACTATTTCTGAAAAGCCTTGAGCAAATTTATGACCTGAAAGTTTCCTACCATTGCTCCAATATAAAGACCAATCACAGTCAATCGAGTTATAGGTTTGTTCTTTTTGACGACGGCGTATGCACTTTCTGTAACTAGTGAAAGGTGCCAGAACATTGTACGTTTTATTTGCCGGAACTTACGTCATTACAAAATAGTGCACGCATTCTATTTAAATCGAACATTTGAAAATTACTACCTATAGATCAGAAACTTTGTATATCATCTCTCAAGGCGGTGCAGCGTATAGTACGTACAGAGAAAATTAAAATAAAAGGAGAATTACTGAAGGAGAGGATGTACTTAAATTATTAAAGGAGAATGTATTTTCATCGTTAATTTCCATCTTTACGATTCTTTTTTTATGTAAACACTATTTTTTTAATAACCAATTAATCTTTGTACAAAATGTGTATGTATCAAATAGCGTTCTTTTTGAGAACTTGAACTTGCCACTGACCTATCTGTACCACGTGCACTATGACGACATTTTGAACTGTACCATGTGTACTAAAAGTACAAAAAGAATTTCTGCACGGTATTTTTAAAAAGAACATACCTATTGAATGATCGTCGATAAAAGCTCGCTTAGTAGCACTAAGCGTCACTTTTGGTTCGTATGTCCTAAATTCTAGACCTAGAGGATTGTTTGTTTGTAATTATGGAAGTAGCAGTGTCCAAGTACTCCAAGTGTTCAGACGAGCAGGCCGCTGCCTGCCCTCATGATTTGCTGATTTCGAGAGACACAATTAATCGTCGAATTTATGCATGTATGAAGCATAATAAACGGATGATTCGTGAGCGCCGCCGCCGTTTGCTATTGAAGAAGGATCCTACAATAGAATCGAGACTGAAGGAAATCAAGACAGAGCATATAAAACGTGCTGAACAAACAATGATCGATATGCTATATGTGCATTCCTGCTACGAAGAACTAAATTGTCATAGTGATGATTCATCAGTTCATACACTTTATTATTGCGATTGAAGATACTATTTTCTATTTGTATGGAGTTATATTAAGATATCCAATAGGCATATTATAAAATGATTGAATGATTTTATTGCATAAATGTAGAAGAAACAATAAAAATAACGGTCCTTTTCAGGACCACGCATTTATTCATACGAAGAATATTTCTTGTGTATCGTATTTTTGTGTGTGTGTGTGTGTAAATGTAAAACATTCTTAGTAACCCCTTCTCTCTCTCTCTCTGTCTCAATATAAAAAAATATATTTCATATTTGATCGCGTAGAAAAAGCTATATCTCCTTCTCTTGTTAAAGGACCCCGCACACGTTTTATATGGCAAAATGACCCCAGTCAAATTGCTCCATTTTGAGATATGTTGTACTTATTTTTGATTTTGAACAAATGTCTTCATTGCCATATTCACATAAAATCAATACATAAAAAGATATAGCGCTTTGAAGTTACAGAAATTATGGGTACCGTCATTCCTCCTTAAGATATATTAACTTGATGCTTTCTTTTATGTATAATACAATGTTTGTTTATTAACGTGAGTCCTCTCGCCTCTCGCATTCGACCTATTTATTTCTATCATCCTATGCTTGATCATTTCTATCAACATTCATAATTCGATTAAAGACAGTTCTGCTTGGATATTTCACATTAAGCCGATGTCGTGCATAGCCTAAAAACCATATAATACTAATTATCATATTAGCGCAACATCCCAAGATTATTGCACCAGTCTTACATGTGCAATAATATCTTAGAATCAATTCATCATCCTTATTATCCAGTTGATGAGCAATTCACATTTGATATTTGACTTGATTGCGAAATCGTGAATATATATAATCTTATTCGTATAAATAAACCCGGTTCATCTCTATCTTCATCAAATTTGAAAAATCAGAGTTGCCTCTATATCGAGCTTATCTTGAATATAATAAGATAGTGTCAGCCCTATTTGATAAATACCAAACGTTAATTTTTTTAAATAATTTATATCACATCTTAGAAAATCCTGAACGTGATTCTCATTTAATTTATTCCATACGCAATGACGTGCGAATGTCTGATGGACCTTATACTGAGCTGCGTTCAGAATCATCATCTGAGTGTTTCAGATGTCGTGTTATCCTTGTTTATCATTCGTGAACAATAAGGATAAAACAATATCTAGTTGCATCCGGACGAGAGATATGATTCTGAACGCACTCCTTATGTCATGTGAGTAACCAGTTCTATATAAAAAACGTGCGGAACCCTTTACCATTATAAGGTAAATGTATCAGTTAATGGACATATGAATTAATTGTTGGACAAAGCGATAAAGCATTTCAAATATAAAGTTTTTAATGGTATGTGCGAGTCTATTAATTTGTTATTAAATGTTTACAAACAACAAATTTATTTAAAGTCACACATATCATTAAAAGCTTAATATTTAAAATTTTGTACCCCTTTATCCAACTATAATTGGAGATCATGTCTGCTAACTGTCCACTAACTGGTACATTTACCATATAAATATTAAAATAAGTATTCACACATCAAAGCATTTAGCATGTATATAAAATCGAGCTATTTATTGATTTGTATAAATATATTGTTTTTCATACTGTGCTTTTTGCCATAAGAAATATTACGGAAATTATACCGTGACAGGAAGTAACGTTGATTCTATGCGAATATATTCGAAAATTGGAGACTATCGCGTGACTTTTATTGGGAAGATTTTCTTCTCATGCAACATTATTCCGTAAAAATCGGGATAATATGCAAGGTAATCTTCGAAACATCGTATTCTTTCTTGCTGCAATCATTTCTGCATGAAGGTATATCGCACATATAGAACATATACGGAATGAATTATTTAATGATAAATTCCTAATTACAAATCGTAAATACGCGATAATAAAAGCTTTTTTGAACGCGGCAATGGGCGGGAATTGATTATAATTCGTCTGCAGAAAGTAATATGAGATAAAATTATACTTTGTTTATTACTTATCTGTCTACTTTCATACAATATTTGCTAAGAATCAATTAAAATAAAACTCTTGATGCTCTATCGATAGAGCGAATAAATTATTTTTCTTTTTGCTCTCTCGTACATTTATTTTTATGTCCATAGTGATCATATATTTTCTTAGAGAAAATGAAGAAAACTGACAATTTTAGAACCTTATTTCCAAATATTTTGAATTGTTATTTAGTTTGTGACTTATATTAGATGAGAGAGATGACTTACAGGTAAAACAGATTATTATGATAATCAAAATAGTGCAAGTTTGATTATTAAAAGTTACTTTTCAATTAATCATGACTATAATTTTGATGTCATTTCGACATTACTGTGACTTTGTTGTTCTATTTGGGCTAATTGCACTTATATAAAAACAAACATTTATTGATTATTGTTTTCGTAAATACTCGCTTATTTGTGCGACATTAAACATTGCGGAAGGTTAATAGAAACGATCGAATTTTTTCAAACATTATTAAAATATTTAAAATAAATGATTGAATTTTAGAAAGATATATAAATAAATCTAAAGTATACAGTTACTAAAATAAACAATTATCCTTTATAATAAAAGACAAATGTTTACCGTGTCGTTTGCCGTTTACGTCGCGTTGATTTCCATTATACGTATAATCCTGATAATATTCTATAGTATTCTTGAGCATTTACTAAAAGAAACAGTCATTAAAAAAAAAAAGACATTATTTGTAAAATTATTAATTTTTCCAGTTGAGAGGAAACAAACGCATCGAAATGCTGCTAGGTTTTTGTTCTGTTATATTTTCGTCCGGTCGGGATCGAATGTGAAAAGCAGAGTAGAACCCGGTGAAACTCTTAACGATCATGAAACTTATAGGCACGAACGCACACGCAAGCATGCATGCACGCAAGCGGGCACGCACGCATGCACGCACGTACGCACGCACGGCACGCACGCGGCCACGCACGCGGGAATTGTCGGCCATAAGAACTATACAGTTGAATGTACGCACGCGAGCACGCACGTAAGCACCTGCACGCATGCACACTTCGCCTTAATGCGAGCCTATCGTGCCGCGGAACGACTTCGTCTTTCGATCCAACGCTACCCGCGCTTCCTTGCGAGAAATATAATGTAGACGATTACAAAATAAACGTATAACGATGGAACGCCTATTCACGAATTTGAAGTGTTCAGAGAACTCTCCAAATTTTGTCAGAACATTCTCCTGATATTATTTCTATTTACTACGCGAGAAGTATTACTAATTTTGAACGTAAATCAAACAGTATTACTGATTTTAACTGTTTTATTCTTGTTCTTTATTGAGAATTTTTAAGTATGAATGTATTGCTGTATAGATCTAAGGAAATAATTATTAACAGAATTATATTATGAAGTTAATATAAAATATATAATTATAATATGATTGTGAAGGACTATCCGAGCTTAATTAAGTTGACGTGTGCGTTAGTTTAAAGTAAAATCGTATAAAATATAATTTAAACAATATTGAATATTCGAACGTTTCGATAACCATTAATTTCAGTCTTCCTCAGTGAATGCAAATTAAAATTAATTTCTTCTCATCCTATAACATATATGTTAAGGAAATATATCAATACGTATGATTTGATCGAATATTTCAATGATTATTACAAATTTTAATTTACATGCGCGTAAAATTATAGAAATAGTAAAGAGTAGTTTTTAAACACAATTCATTTTTAATGCAGAATAATAATGTAGGAAATTTGCATATAGAATAAATGTGGATTTACTAAGTTCACTTTAGACACAATTTTAATATATAATTCAGAATTTAGAATAGAATTTTATTTATATCTTCATGTAATGTAATACAAAAAAAATTCAAGGAATTAAAATAACACGTGCACATAAAATTACATACATTACATCTATCGATATAATGTACAATAAAATAGAGAGTGATAAGAAAAATATTTTATAAAATTGAGATAAATACATATAACAACATTTATAATCGATAAATCATAGTACTATGCGATATTAAAATAGGACGGCATATAAAGGAATTCTGTCTAATTGGAATTTTCTTTGAAATTTTGCTAGAAATTACGAATCGAGTCCGACACGTGTATTACAGCAATATATTCAAGATATGCGATTACAAGAATTATATCTAATGAGATATTCCGGTCGAGATTCAATTATTTATTCCATACGGCAAGGTGTAACGTACCTAGAATACAGAACGCTGAAGCGCTTCGGGACGTTTGAATTTGGCGCGCGAACACGAGCCAATACTCGGTGGACAGCCATGCTAACTTGGCTCTGTGGTGTTCTCCCGACAGTCCCGACTCCGGCGATGTTTGTGCGTACCTGGCACCACTACGGTCCCACTGTCGCGTTCACCGTCTCTGTCATCGTTTGAGAAGGTTCCGCGACCAGGGCACTACCGCACGGTGCGACAGCGTCCCGACAATACGAGCGTGCCCGTCCGATCTTTACGCGACATGTCAAGTCAAATATGTCTAAAGTGGAACAGTTTTCTCAGCAATATCGCCACCAGCTTCGAGAGCCTGTGGGAGGAAGAGGGTCTGGTGGACGTGACTCTCGCGAGTGACGGACAGTGCCTCACTGCGCACAAGGTGATACTCTCGGCCAGCAGTCCCTTCTTCAAGAAGGTCTTCCAGGTAAGCTTGTCGAGGTCGTCCTGGATCGTGATTATCCCTGAACGGCATTATGAGACCAATCGTCGTTGGACGCTTCTTCGTCGCTCGTCCGGAACTTGTCCTCGCGTGTTGTCATGCCCTCGACAATTGGCGGGTAAAACGACGCGTTTGTCAGCTGTCGCGTATATAGCCTTCGGAGCACTCTCGCATCGAGGTTAGAAGACTATTACTGCGACTATTATCGAGATAAACCTAACGATTATTGAATACATGCGGCTATTAGCTATTTGGCTCTGTGTCTCTTTAAGTGGAACAATTTTCTTGCTTATCTTGAATTTTGTCAGCGAATGGTAATGTATCTCTTTCTTTTCTGTTTCTGGAGGCGATACATTGTTTTATTTGATAAACTGTCAATAATATAATAGATTTAAAACTCGCAGTAATGCAAAATGCTAATTTTAGTATTTACGAGTTTTATTTATATTTCATTTTTCCTCTGTGAAAATGATAATAAAAGTAGTTCTGATTAAGAAACAACTATTCTTTTATCATATATAATTAAAAAAGGGAGTAATTCTTGAGTATTTCTTTCTTCTAATTGTGAATCAATATAAAATAATAAAAAAGTAATATAAATAAGTGACTCTTAAAATAAAAATAAATATTAATAAAAAGGGCAACAAGCCAAAGTAAAATACAAAAACAACAAACATATAAAACTGTTAAAAATTAAAATAAATAATAATAGGCTCTGTAAGAATAAACAAATTAGGACAATTGAAGGGCTAGTTATACAATAAAGAAATGTAAGGTAATCAAATCAGGTATACAATAACATTTTAATTAATTTAAAAACATAAAAATAATAAACATTTTGACGCCAATCGGGTCATTCTCAATGTTTCAGTAAATACATTATAATTAAAACTATTAGAAATCTATAAAATATATGGTTTTCAGTATTCTTCATGTCCTGTATTGTAATGTTACGAATCAATAAATTAAAATAGTCAAATTAGTCGTAAAAAATTCTTGGCTTTATTATTATATGTAATTGGCTCTTGACCCGTCAATTGTCCTAATTTGTCAATATAAAATATTTTTATATTTTACATAGAAACATGTGTTTTATATTTCACAAATTTTATAAGTATCTCTTATACTATATGAATCCCTTAGTTGCCAAGTCTGCTTTATAAGCATAAGACTTATGCTTATAAAGCAGACTTATGCCACTTGTCAACTAAGGAGTTCATTTATTATACATATATTATTAATTTATTGTCATAAACAATACTAATATTTTTAAAACATACATTTTTATCAGAAAATTGCTTATTATTTGTCTATGATAAAGTTGAAATAGTTAATTAATGAATTTAAAATTAAGAGATGATTTATTAAAAAATTTAAAGAAATGACAAATCTGATGAATACAAATTTGACGGATTAATTTATAATAGATTAATAATTTGAATAATACAGTGTCTAACAGTTTTATTCTTTTATTTTATAGACAAACCCATGCCAACATCCAGTTATAATACTTCAGGATGTACACTTTAGTGAATTGGAGGCATTATTAATATTTATATATAAAGGAGAGGTAAATATTGAACAAAAGAATTTACCAGCACTCTTGAAAGCAGCAGAGACATTACAAATTCGCGGCTTATCTGGTGGAGATATCTTTGCAAAGGAGTCTTACAAACGACTAGCTGAGTTAGAACAGGCTGTGGCTGAAGATGTGCCGCTGAATAAAGAAGAGGCACCTAAAAAGAAACAAAAAGTTAGCAAACAACAAAATAATTCTATCTTGGAAAAAGCATTAACACCTAAAATATCACAATCGGAAAATACAAATGAATCTGCTGCTAGTGATCAAAGTGGGAAAGACGGAGAGTACATGTTGCCAGAAACGTTACCTAATCCAGTATATCATCGATTGGAGATGAAAGTTAGTTCAGAAAATAAGATATTGGCGTAACAATAATAAAATAATTGTATGTCACGTACAGTTGCGTGTATAAAATATAGCATTCAATCTAAACGCATTTCAGATAGAACCATTGGAAATGGCAGTAGACGATCTCCAGAAAAGATCTCCGTTAGATAAGGATCCAGAGGAAAGGCTAGATACAGGACAAGCAGATGGGAATCAAGGTTAGTGCTTTATATAAACTAATTAGATTTTTATTTTATGCAATTTGGTATGCATTATATGATAGTTGTATAAATAATCAGCTCTTATATATTACATTTTATGTTTTTCTGTGTTACAAAATAATGTATTACTATTTACTAAATGAAACACTGAATTTTCTTTCTTTGCATTTTCACTGCTGTATTGTTGCTAATGTCTTTGTTTTTCACATTAAATATAAATCCATTAAATTAGCTTTTTGAAGATATAACTTGCATACATAAACATTTTTAAGATATTATTTGTTAATATTGTTTAATTAATGATTTTTAAAGGTATTTGAAAATTGTATTTTTTATTTAAAATTTAATTGTGGATTATTATATTTATTTATTGGAATTTTTCAGTTTTCAACATTAAAAATTTTGTATTTAATGCATAATTGCAAACACTAAAATTACACTTTAATATTTTCTTATGATACTAGCACTAAAGAAAGTGTCATTAAATTGGAACATTCTATAATTAAAAGAAAGTCATTTTTTCTTTTTTGTGATAATTCTCTGAATTTATAAATCAGTTTGTTAATACGTATATTATGATTTTTATTAGTAATTGAATACATTAAATTTGATAGATATATATGAGATATTATTAATCTGTATGCACAAAAAAGTTTTATTAAAATAATAAGTTTTAATCTAATGCAGATATAATTACATTTTGCTTTTTCGGGAGAAATCAAATATCAGCTATCATTTTAGCATATATTATTTCATCTATTATTAAAAATCTACTCTATTTTCATTATCACATATAATTAATATTATCACATGCACAAATGCTGTATACATTTGTGTACACAGTTTCATTGTCTTTGCGTATGCCGGTGGCTACTGTAGTATCAAAGCTTTTTCTTTGGTACTGCAGATCGTGGCTTTTTCGAATATTCTGTTCGCTTTCACCGCATATTCTGTTCTGCTCGTTTTGGCGCGCCACGTTTTCTTTATTTGCTGTACTGCAATGGCTCCGTGTGATGAAGTAGAGACAAAGATTGCGTGCACGAGTAAAGAGAACTCTATCGAAAAGACAATGAGAGCGACGTAATTGGTGCAAATGATAAATGTCCCTATAGCTCATTGCATTGTAGCAAAAGTATTTCGCGGAATATTTGATACGGAAGTATATCGTTATAGTTATCTTGAAGCGTAATTGATTTGTAATAACTGCAATTTATATAAAAACTAATAGTAATTATTGCGATTTTAATTTCTGTAATTCAGAGATTTTATGAAAATGAAGCCGGTTTCGGCATCACGCTTCGATCGGCGGTGCATAAACGTATGTGCGTGCATGCGTGAGCAGTGCATACGTGAGATGGAAGATGCGTGATCCGTCCTTCATTATATTCTTTAATGTACACTCGCTCGCATTTTCTTTATTGTGCGCGTAATTCACGTGTGTGGAGCAGTCCGTGTCTAAAGCGCGCTGTGCTGATATGTGTGGCAGGGTCTGGGAACAGTCCTGCTGAAGACATTTCCGGTTTATCTGGCTTGTCCGGGCTAAGTGGATTCTCGGATGTCAAACCGCTGCTTTACTCGTATCAGCATCTACCTTACGCCGATCTTCTACCAAGTCCGGACATAATCTCAACCTGGGCGTCATCCCGACCGATGGATCATTTGGCCTGCGACCTCATGAAAATCCTCTTTACGCCGGAAGAGAGGATTCTCTGCAATGTTAATGGCAAGATGGGCAAGCAACAGTTCGATAGTAACAAGATACATTTAATTCGGGAGGTCCTGTTGCACTTTAGTGGCATAGCGCCTAACAGCATCGAGTGGGAGGAGGCTTGGAAGAATTGCGTAACCAAAATCGACACTAGTAATAGAGGCTTGAAAAGGTATCTGTTTCAGAGACGATCGGTCTACACTCAATGACTAGGGCGTTTTAGGTCAGGGGTCAAACGGAAACGTTTCCACTGGCTGGAATAGGATCGTTCTTGTAAACCCGTCACCCCGTTCGTTCTCACACAAGCGTCGTAGGACGACTCGTTCCTCGCTTGTTCCTCTTTGGTATGAGCTTTCGCGCTTTATATTTAGGACACTGTAAAAAAACAATTGATGTAAGTAGACAGTAAGATCACGCGCGTGTAGCATGTAGCTAGGGGAAGAAGAGATGGATGGTCAGCCGACATGGTTAAAATCGCAGATTTAAAGTGCAATAAAATTGGAACATGCACTCTTCGATTCATGGTGACGTTTCTAGGCTATAGATTTCGGGGTGACAGGGTGATTAGAAAGAGCATTATAGACGCGATCGAATTATTTATACGCTTCAGGTTCACCACTCGGCGTGATGGGTGGCGGACAATCGAATAATTCTAAGCCTTCCTCGTAGTTTCTTTTTTATTTTCATTTTATCAAGGAAAATTTTAAAATAATAATTTGATCTCTTCTCCCATCCTACATTTTTTTACACTCGCACATCGTGTGTTTAAAGAATCTCCCTGCTTCTCTCACAATGCGTTCACGAGTAAGATCGATTATTCTTCTACCTGTGTATTTTGTTTCACGTATAGCACCTTGAATAACATTCCTTCTTACTTTTTAGTTACAATTCATGTGAGAATTCGCTTTTACAATAAAACGTGGTACGATGTTATTAAAAAGTTGGCGTATATCAGAGAGACACGCGAGTCTCTCTTTCTCTCTTGCACTCGAATATACACATCACGTACTCGCTCACATGCATTCTGATACATGAATAAGATGCGCGTGTATATATGCATTCATTATGCGGAATTGTATGGTATATACACGGGCGTGCAAACGCGGCACACGTATCCAGTTAGAGGTATACGTATGGTATATGTATGTACATATATGTACAAGTATACGTTTTGGTCGTGTTGATCACGTGCGTGCGTGAACGTGCTGCACGACCACGGCAGCTCTGTGTACACTTAAAGAAAAAAAGAACTGTAGCTCTTACAACAAGAATAGTGATTTAAGACATGCTTGTAGAGTATTTAAATCGCAGCAAAGATACATTCAGCATGTACTACGAACTATTAGAGTCTACGTTGCGAATCTACGTGCAATTTCCATCGCACGTTCTTTTCTCAAGACTCGCGCGAAAGTGTTCTTTGATCTCCGTTTTACTTGTAAAGTCGTGTTTTTTTTTTTGTTTCGGTTGCGCGGTACAAGCGTTGATCATTGGAGCACACCGACAGCTTCGAAACGATATTATTTAAATTAATATTATTGTAGACAAGACAAACGACTGGTCGCAAATAAACATATTTTACATTTTTAATTGTCTTCTTATTTTTGATATATTATATTTATCGTATATTCCTTTGTTCATCATATATCTATGATAATGAAAAAATAAGTTTTTCGTTTTTTAGTATTAGAGTAATAACTTTTCAATCTTTTTACAAATAACATATGTAAATATTTTTCATACATATGCTTTACATTATAAGTATTATTTCAAGTTACAATAGAATTAAGAATAACGTAATAGCAGCGAATAGATAATATTATTTAAAATAAAAATAATAAAGTTTAATATATACTTGTAAATACTGTTTCTCTATTTTTGTATTGCAAGTGGAAAATCATCAAGTCAAGGAATTACTATTGAGTATATTATATTATATTATACTATTATATCTTATTGATTACATGATGTCTAACATTCAATTTACGCATTAAATTCCGTTTATGAAGAAACAATTCAAATGGTAGACTGAAATTCTTTACAGGATCGTCGAAGCCGATTGTGACAGTAATAGCCGAAGCTCGTCATACTTTCCCAGATCCAGAAACGTACAGGAGAGATTCTCTCGCAGTTGAACGAAGCTCGTTGTGGAATGTCTCAAAAATATTGAAGGGACCATTATCTGATTTACCGAATTATTCTCGTGCTGAACAATCATTAGATCAACCGGAATCTTCGAATTTTTTGAGACACAATTCTGGAGTTCTGCAACCTAGTTTTCCTGCGTTTGTCGAATCCTATAGTACAGATACACCGGAAGAAATTTTAAAAGGTGGACCAGCATATCCACCGTTTCCTTGTCCTTTCTGTGATAGGGCATATACGAGTTGGGGCTTCCGCAGAAGGCACATAAAAGCTGTGCACACTATTTCTCCATCTCTTACTTGCAAATGGTGTTCACAAGTGAGTTTGTAGAGTTCTTTGATTTATTTCAAAATAAAAAACAAGTTGAATTGTATGTCACATTTGCATTTATATGACGGGTAAGATCTTATTTTTATAATTATCTTATACATATATAGATTCTCCCTACGCACGCTGCTTGGAGACGGCATGTGATATCAGCGCATAATTTATCAGCCAGTGACGCACATAATGGTCTCTTAATTTTGGAAGAAGCACATATGGTCCTGCAAATAGCGCGTCCTACCAAATTGGATACATTGGTTAATATTATTAAGCAAAGTTCGCAACAAAACTGTGGTCATGATAGCACTCAGTCTGATAAAGATTAAGTAATGATTATCACAGTTTAAATTTTTATATATCAAGAAATTATTTACATTCCTAATTTTTTAATAAAATTCATATTGTTGATGACACACATCGTCATGTTCGAAGCAAATGCAAATTTATTTTTTTATATTTAAAAAAATGTAAATAATTATATAAATATAATAAACATATTTTTAATATATATACATAGTGTATATAATAAATATATATATATATATATGTATATATGATACTTTGATTTATATGTATATTTGATCTATGATCGCAAATTACATTATTTATTATGTTTTGTATCAGGCTGCCAGCAATTTATTTTTAGTAATTTTTTAAAAAATAATCTAAAAGTATTGTATATTTCTAAGATTGAATGTATACGAACATGATAAACTAATATATATTTTCGTATAAACTACTGTGATGGATAAACATATATTACCAAACATTTTTAAAGAATGTTTAAAACTGTTTAGTAATATGTGACATTTTTTTTATTTGTAGATTACATATTTAAGAAAAATTGTTACGTACGGCCAATATATTAATATGTATATGAATACATATGTTCTGAATTCAAATTTTATAATATAATGATACGTGAAAAAAAAATCGATTTTTTTAAAATAATTAGTTCTTTTTGTAAATGTAAAAGCAGTACTTTTGAAAGATTTAAGGTTTATTAGAATATTAGCGAGTTTTGAATGAATATGTAGATCAGTAGTATAGCTAGGTAGTTATATTCAAGTTAGGATACTTGTAGCGGAACTAGCTTATTCACCACAGTTTTGACATTTGATGATGGCCAAGCCAAACTGCCGAAGATGAAGAAAATAGCTTGTCGCACATGGACGGTTTCCAGAGTTAACTTCCACCAGAAATATTTTCTCACGGATTACTGCAAGTTAAGGAGGTTCAGTCTGCTGTTGCACGGGTAGAGCAAAAGAAAGAGAATTCTAAAAAAGAAGGTGCGTAAATTATCGATCTTTTACATTTCATTTTTGTTTATTAATAAAAAATTTTGTTTTATCTGTAGTATGGGAACTTAACGAAGAAGAGAAGTAAATGATTATCCTATCGGAAGACTTTCAACGATTTCTCGATTACACTAGCAGAATTGCAGAAAGAGCATTGAGTGAATCGGTTGATATATACACCGATTATGCTGACACTATGGACGGCGAAGATGGAATGTAAGTAGAAAACAACAAATTGAAAAACTTTGCAATAAATTGATCGCAGATTTAAAAATTCTTATTAATATCTAATTACTAATATTCTTATGAAGATGTTTATTAGTATAAAAAAAATATTAAACCAGAGTAGTATAATAACACTTTTATTAAATTGCTTGTCAATTAAAACTACTTCGGTTATACTCATGATGGCATTTAAAACGGAAAAAAATGTTGCGAAATTTACAGAATCACGTATGTATATAAATTTATACAGAAATATTTAAGCACTAAGATCTGCTTTGATCAAATTTTTATATTTAATTATATTAAAAGATTTTTTTTGTTTCTAAGGTACAGTTGCTTAAGTAAACACGTTTTGTTATATATACATGATTATTTTGAATTTGCAGGAATGAGAAGAGTCATCAACGACTATGACTGAATCGCTTGTTTATTTGTGAGTGATGGTCCTGTAATCGTTGTGTAACCTCCATGAATTTGTCATCGCAGTTCTCCGAGCTTCTAGCGGCTTCGTATAACAATAATGACGTTTCTAACGGTGTATACCTGATCTGGAACACGAAATTCAAAAAAATAACTCCAGAGTTTATCTTTCACTATCAGTTACCCGTTATATCGACTACGTTCGCCAGATTCCATCCAAACTTGATCCTGGATGGCACTTACTTTGGTTAAATCGTGTTATTGGACAACCGAGTACAAAAAAAGACTCCCATACAACGTACCCCTTTGTCTGCTACAGTACATACTGTAACTTATTATTTTTTAACATAGCTTAATTAGCTAATTAAGATTTTAGCTTCTAAGTTTAGAATGCGAGAACGAAGAGATCATTTATTTTGCAGCATCCAGTATACTGCTTGAACGTTGTTGGAACACAAAACGCACACAATTTGATTAGCATTTCGACGGACGGTAAATTATGCTCGTGGAGTCTGGACATGCTGTCACAACCGCAAGAGACATTGAAATTGCACAGAAGCAATCTAAAGCAATCGCCGCTATGTGTTTGGTCTTCCCGCACTGTTAATAATTTCGTCATGGGAAGTGAGGACGGAACTGTTTACTCAGGTAAGTGCAATTGCCCATGTATGTGAAAATGTTGAAAAATAATCTGTAAAAATTATTAACATTTTAATATTTTGTTGAATAGCCTGTCGACATGGTAGCCGCGTTGGATTGACGGAAACATGTGGGGTCATCAGGGATTACCTGTCACTGGTATTAGCGCACAGGCAGTGTAAGGCGATATAGACTTCTCCCATCTATTCCTGATATCTTCCCTTGACTGGACTGTCAAACTTTGGAGCCTGAAAGAGAACAAACCGCTCTACTCTTTTGAGCATAATGACGACTTCGTTTATGACGTTTCTTGGTCTCCAATACATCCGGTGCTGTTCGCCGCTGTTGACAATTCGGGAGAGACAATTCAAGATACGGAGGTATCTACCGCCAGCGTTGTCGTTGACGGATGTCCTGCTTTGAATAAAGTATCATGGACGCCAAGCGGGCATGTTATTGTCGGAAATGATACTGATAAAATATGGATCTATGACGCCGAGGTACATATGATAATACTTTAAAATTTTTCTTGATTGTTTATTTGGCACAATTGCGTACTGAAACTTATCCTACATTATACTTAATTTTTTGTTTATTACAGCATCTAGCTCATCCAAGAATTGATGAATGGAACAAATTTCTGTATACGCAACAGGACCTGAAGAACAACAAAGCTGATGAAGAACTGGATAAGCTTAACCTTAGTTCTGGGTCGTCTTCGTTAACATCTGTGACATCTATTTCATCAGTTCCTCTTAGATAAAAATTCATATAATTTAACTTGCTCCAATAATTTTATCTTGCAATTGATTACATTTGCAATCGTATAAGAAACAAGTAATACTTATCTAGCTCGTAACAATAATAAAATAAGAATAAAGGTAATAAGCGAGCAATTAATATAATAACCGTAAATCATCACTGTTAAATGTCAGAGGAGCAATGGCAACGCTGTTTCTTTAGTAAAATAACATTTTATTATCTTTTTCGTGTATAAAAAAATGAGATTGGAATAAGCCTACTGGGTAAAACACTATAAAAAAAACGCACCATGCTATTTACCTCGTGACAGGTAGTGTGAAAATGATAATATTTTATTATTTTCTTGAAATCAGGCCTCATGTGAAGCGTTTTTCAGTTTTCGTCGCTATGTTTCGAAAACTATTCGAGATATAAAAGAATGTTTTATACAAAAGTTTTACAATAAAATTACCTCTATTTATTCACGTCAATGATATTTTATTAGAATAATTATTTAACAATTTTTTTTTGAAAATTTTGAAAAAAAATTGTTAATTAATTATTCTAAAAACGCAAATGAGTACAGCTAATTTTGTTGTAAAACTTTTGTATAAAACATTTTTTTATATCGAATAGTTTTCAAGATATAATGGAAAAAGTTGAAAAACGTTGTATACATAAAAGGTGATTTCACCCTTTTAAACCGTTTTTAGGCAGTAACTAATATTCTCTAAATTCGTCTCTTTATGTAAGCTACAAGTTCACCAAGTTTCATTAAAATCGATAAGAGACACCTCGAGAGGTTTTCTTTTGAGTTATTGATATCTATTGACGAATACCATTTAATAGAAATAATTGTATATTGATAGAGTAATAATCACTAATTTTCTGTAATAAATTATTTACAAAGATGTATATTTTTCATTTTTTTAGTTGCAGTTATTGATTTTGTTTAATTAACAATTTGTCATAAACAATTGCGCATTATAGATTTGTCTTTTTTTCTAGTAATTAAAAATAGGAAATATATATTAATTAATTAATGCAATCAAAAATTTTATTACGAATTAATTGCATTAATTTTTATGTCTACTAAATTTTAATCAACATCCTTTTTTTGCTTTCCAGATTAGCCTAGCTTTAACAAATATAGAGAGAAAGATATTATAATATTTTATGAAATATAAATGCAATTAATGATTTTGATACAACTGGTCTCTTCTATTTTACAGATCAGCAACGTAGCCTTTGACAATAATGCCTGGTGCTATCTCCGTAGTAACGCTATCTTTGATGTCTTCTTCATCCCATGCGTTTTCTTTCGCATATTTCTCTGACATTATGATCATTTCGTTTGGACTCCATTCTGGCGAATCTTTGTGACTATCGTTGCTTTTGGAAGCAATATTCGATTCGTCTAAGTGGCTATGATGAGATTTTGGTATTGATTCTGGTGATGTGACGCTCTCATATACAGGATTACGTTTCATGGAAGCACGTTGATGAGATGTTTTCCGCAGCATCGCCTAGAATAATGAGTGTCTTTTGATGATTGTTATGGCAACCTAGTCATTTTCTCTAAAATTTGATATATAGTTGATTTAAAATAATATCTTTATAAAAATATAAAACGTTTATACAAAACATATAGATATGCGTATATGATTGAAAGATTATTAACATAAATAAAGTAATATATCTTACTTGAAAATTGAATGGAGGTGTATCATCGTTTTTGTCATCATTGTTTCTACGTCCAATCATTTCTAATTCTTTGATGGGATTTATTCTATAACGGAGAAAATATGATGTTACTCTAAAAAAATTGATTAATATCTCCAAAAATATGTCTCAACTAAATTAATTATTACCGAATATCACTGTTAACATTGCGATTAATTCTGTTTTCAAACTCCCATTCTGTATTGTCATTTTTGTTTTGAATATCTGACTCATAGTTGCTGAAATTGCGCATTGCCGACGGTTGTGTTTGATTGAGTGGT